TAATTATTGGTCTATGGTTGATGGTTGTTAACAGATTAATTTAAAATTAGATATTTGACTCGTCAAATCTGCTAACTAGGTTATTTGGATAAAAGTTTATTTGATTAATTTTTTAATCTAAAACGCTAATTTTGAAAAAACTCAATATATAGATATTTTGAGAAGAGATGATATGTATAATAAATGAATAAGTAAAATTTTAAAACTAGCTATACAAACCTGTTATTTACCAAACTGACTGAATTATACAATCAACTAGGCAACTCATTAATACAACTCATATCCGCTGTCAGCTAAAACCAAACAAACCTTATATATGTAGAAGAAGGGTAGAGTGGTGAGTTGAGTTGGCTTATTTTTCTATTCCTCTCTCATCAAAAGTCGTTGACAACGGCTAAGAGAAGGAAGAAGACACAATAGTAAACCCCTCTCATTATCATCCTAAAATGACATGAAAACAACTGTTTGCGTGCCCTTTTGGGTAGGTTATGCGCCAATAGTAAATAACAAGTTGGCTTTCTAGAACAAAATTCACGAAAGTTAACAAGAACCGTCCGATGTTTGATTAACATGTTACACTTTATCTCAAACCATTAATCGCAAACACTGACTAGCCTCGTCAAATATTCTTATTCTCCCACCTTATTTTTCCATAAATAAGGGATGCAGTTTTAAATATTCTTTGGGCTGTACAAAAATTTCCTTGTGAAAATACTAACTTGCTTACAAAGACAATTACCACTCCTCAAGCTACTTGCTTACAAAGACAATTAACACTCCTCAAGCTTTGGTAAGATGACACTATTGATTCTGAACTTCTGATAGGATTATATCTTTTGTACAATCTCATACAAGAGTTTTATTCAACCCTATCAGAGTTGTTCATCCAATCACAAGCAAACAAAAACAGGAAAGGTGAAATTCACCATATAGGAATTTATTCCCGAACTAGCAGGTAATCTGCATTAAAATCCAAATAAAGGATTCTTATTCTCAAACAAGCAGACCCAAAATCCAATGTGCAACAAACATCAAGCAGGATCAAGGATCAAACAGCCAAAGACCACATTTGGCACACCAAAACGAGGACCACATTTTTTCCTATAATCTGTTTGAATGCCAAAATCTGAATCATAAGATCACAGAATAGGAAATTGCTTGATAGACAGATGCTTATCCCCAGTCAATTTAGCTCACGCAGACTTGTTACAAAGTTACCCAAACAACTTATGTGAATCCCTTGAAGATCATTCTTATTTACAGCTGAGTAGATAATAAGTACACCAGCTTGTAAGTTGTAACACACCAATTGTGATTGCAAATGATTTAACAATTACAATCAGCTAAGATGAATCTGATCTAATCCCTGCCATTATTCTAAATTCTAACCCAAGAATAAAATCCAGCGCTCAGATTAATAAGCACACACAAAAGGCTACAATTTGTAAGCCACCACCATTTCCAAAAGCTTTCTATCAAACATCATCAAGATTCAGATGCATTTATTTCCCAGCACATTCCACAAATGGATCTACAAATGCAAGGCTACTTACTTCTCACATTCCACATGAACACAGAGAAATTCAGTCAACAATTAACAAAGAAAACACAACATACCAACACATCATCATATTTTCAACCAAAAAACACACCATAACAGGAAAAAAAACTGATTCTGAATAATAATAATAAGCTCAGCTGATAAATAGTTGATACATGAAATGTAGTTCTGAAAATCGCTACTACATAATGAGAGTTCACAAATCAGAAAGCATTACATGGGAAATAAAAGCCCTATTACTTGGATCTCTGCCTCATCTTTCTGCGCTTCCTCTTCAACCTCCTCATACGCTTCTTCTTCCACTGCAAAACCCCATGAAAACAGCAGAAAAATAAACAAACAGAGAGAGAAAGAGATTAGGCGCAAGGCAAAAGCAACAATAATCGATGATAATTAAGTGGGATCGAATTGAGACACTTTACCTTGGCCCTCATGGGTGAAACAGAATCTCTGATGAAAGAATGTCCCTTCTTGTGGAACCCTAAAAACTATTAAAGGTGGAAATTTGGAGCGATGGAAAAAACCCTAGGAACTTGTTCTGAATTATATATTGTAGCCCTTTTAAGCATAACGCATGGGCCTGAGAGTTTGGGCTGGTTAAGACTTGGGAGTTGGATTAATTCGAATTTGATACCTATTAGAATTGCTAAGCTATACTATGATATAAAAATTATTTGTAATATTAGTTGATAAGTTAGTTGACAAATCTTTGAAATCGTCGTAGAAAACATTTGAGACAAACTCGTTTTCAGAAAATTCATTCTATCAAACAAAATTTATTGTGCGTTATTTAGGCTCAAGTTTTTATATGAAAAAAAAATTAGTCTTCTTTCAACTTTCATTTTATTTTTGCATTTACGAAGTTTTTACTTTTTAATTACAATATACTAACTTTTATAGTTCCCGAATGACTAATTTGCAATTCTTTTTTGTTATTGATTTCTATTAATTACAATATACTAACTTTTATAATTAATTAATGATTGATTTGCGATTTATTTTGTTGTTAGTTTTTAAGTTCATGATTGGTTGTTGATTTGTAATTTATTTTTGTTTTGATTTTTCAATTGAATTTTTGTAAATTTAAAAAAAAAAAATCAGTAAACATACAGAAGAGTAAATGATATGTTGATAAAGTGCAAATTGGTATAGTTTGCGGAGAGTTTTTCTACGAGTAGTCTGTGGAGAGTTTTATTAGTCACAAGTAGAAGCATTTCGAGGTACATAACATGAATCAAACCCCATATCAGTTGCAATATTCTTATGAGGCACACAATTTTTCAACATTCGGCATACATTAGCAAAATTACCACTCAAGAAACTCCTTGAACTAAACCCAAGCAATCAATCACAATTCACACCACAATAAGCTCTTCTAACCACAACTTGTACCAACTTTGCATGCTTTTATGCTCATCGACCATTAACATAATCAATAACAATATGATAAATTTCAAGCACATGATGCACTGATTGGCATATTTGATAAAGCGAAAACATACAACAAACGCAGAACACAAAGACAGTTCCCATAAATAACAGAGGAATACCCAAAAATTTCTAGGTTAGATCAATCCAAAGTATACATCTCTTTTCCTTCTCTCCTCATTTCTTCTTTTTTCTCAAAACCCAAAAGAACCACAACTATTCAACCCTCGAGCACTCATAAACACAAGTCAGAATTCACACACTTGAGAAGATGGAAGGAGAAATGTTTATTACAACGTCACTTCTCAATCAAATATAATAAATACAATTTATTGGTAATTGGAAAACACCATATAACCATTAAAGTAGCCTGTAAGATGACTGTTGATGTCAAAAAGATTCTGATAAAAGTATATGATTAAATGCAACCGATGCCTATTAAATATACAAGAAACAAAGATAACTTATAAAAGTCAGAAATTCTATGGTGCCATAAATCTCACGATCCAACGCCTAATATATCTTATCAATTCCACAATAGATATTAGGCGTTGGATCATGAGATTATGGCACCATATGGTGCCCATATTGGCACCATAGATTTTCTGTATAAAAGTACCTAATGGAACATAACATTACTGAATATAAAATTACCCAGTAGCAGCAGCATCTGGTCCAGTCAAGGAAATCATTCAATTTAGCTTCGTATCCAATCTCATCTGTATCATCTTTCTAATTCTAGCCAAGGGTAAGTTCTATCCTACCGGTGAGGGTACTACCCTCACCGGTTTAATGGTCGACACGTGTCCATTGGTATTTTTTCTTTTTGTTTAATGTGCTTAACAATTGTCAACCATACCAATAAACCATAGTTAAATCACCTACTCACCTTACCAAAACATTTAATTAAAAAAAGAACAAAATTACAATATTTTAAACCATAGTCAGATTTATCAAATCTGAGATCGGCAAATTAGAACCCTAACCCCAAATATCAAATTTCCGGACTCCCATCTACGCCCGTATCTGGTCGTCTCCGACCCATCTCCGCCTGTCTTCGGTTGTCTTAGGGTGTCTCCGGCCCGTGCTTGAATCTTCTGGGCGTTTCTCGTCATCTCCGTCCGCCTCCTCCCGTGCCCGCGTGTATTCGCATGTCTTCGCATAAGTCCAACAATTTTTGCTCAAATCTCTGGATGTCCATAAAGGTACAATTTTGTGCTTTCTTGTTGCATTTCATTCGTTTTTAACATGAGTTGTATGAATGTTTTTCAATAGATTTTGTTGCAGAGATTATATTTTTTATTTTTTATTTTTTATTTTTTATTTTTTTTGTTGCAGAGATTATATATTGTGATGTCTGTGTCCAACAAGCTTGTGAATTTTAAGTCTTTTGTTGCAAGATTAATTTATGAAATTAATCTAGTTAGTTTGAAGCCTGTGGGATTCTTTTTTTGTCTTGATTTTGAAATTAAACTTGATACGGTTTAGAATCTCATTGTGAATATCCAGGACCAAATTGTTTGTTAATTGTTCAATTATAATTAAGTCTTATTTTAGTTTGCTAATTATTTTTTAACTTTTTAATATTGTTAAGTTTGGACATATAAGCTGAATTTTTTTTTTTGTTCTTAGTTATATTCGCAGAAAAATGGATAGCATCTATTCATTCTCAACAGAAAATTTGGATGGAGAAAATGTTGGAGAAGATAGTGTATGTGAAGTTGAAACTGAAGAGCCTGACTGACTTAGAGCTGCTTGAATCGGGGATTGGTGAGCAGGTTGGGATACAATCTTCTAACGGTATCGTTGTTGTTCTTGATAGTAAATTAGCCGTGGGTACAATTGTTAAAAGTATTGAAGATGCTTATTTGTTCTATTGTCAATATGCACATGCTAAAGGATTTAGCTTTAGAAAGGGCGATCAACGTTGTTTTCCCGTAGTACTGAAATTCAGTCGAACATCTTTGATTGTTCATGTGCTGGCGTAAAAGATGAAAAAAGTTCTAGTAAAAAAATACCTATTTATCAAAAGCCAATAACTAGAACTTCATGTAAAGCACAACTCAAGATTAAGAGACCGGAAGAGGAGATTAAGAGCCACTGGAAATATGTATTTGCTGAATTTATTCGGATATCCATTTCCACATTCATCTCAAGTTTAAGAATAGTTTGATCTTATTGGTATTTAAGTTTTCTCATGGATAAAAGAAAATTGATGCAAATTCATGTTTTTTTTTTTTTTTTTTCTATTGACAGGGCTCATCTCATAACAAGGCAGAACTAAATTTGAAGATTGAAGCATGTTTCATTGCAATATTTTGTAATCTAGGTCTATTTGCGACATTTGTTAAGTAATTTGAATTATTGGACTTTGTCTAATTGTATTTTGTAATGTGGGTCTCTTTGCGACATTTGTTAAGTAATTTGAATTATTGGATTGTGTCTATTTGTAGTAGAGATTTCGAATATTTTGCAATTGTATGGGACTAATTTGATTTGGACTTGAATCTTTGTAGTAGCATGTTGTGTAATTATTTTGTTATAGTTTGATTATTTTGAAGCACTATTTTCGCAATTGTGGAATTTATTTTGGTGGTTGTCAAACATTCAAATTAGAATTAACTTGTTTCTCTTTATTAGTGTAATTATATATTTGTAATATTAGATGGAAAAGATTTATTGAGCATATTTTTATAAATTTCTTTTTGTCAATTAATTGTATCATAATTTCCTTGTTTTTTTTAAAAAAAAATAAACATTGTTTTCTTGTTAGTTGTCACATTGAACCAAATGATGTCTTCTATTTATTCATGTATATCTTTTAATTTTATTTATGTAGTAGTTTCTTAAAGACATACTTTGCATATTTTTTATTTTTCATTTTTGTAGCAATTTCTTAAGACATTATTTTGTACCAAATGATTTTCTTGTTCATTTTTTTACCAATTCAGACTTTTATGATATCATCCTAAAATAGGAAACAAGTAAACACCATTCCAACAATAATAAAATTAAAAAATTTATGATAGCAGCTCAAATACAAAAAACAAGTCCAACACTATTTATGAAAAATAATATACGAAAGGTTGGCCCAACAAGCACATTCAACTAATTTAATCCAAAAAAGAAAAAAAAAAAAGAAATAAGCTTAGCCCAACCACCAGCCATTAACAAATATAAAATAAAAATATAAATCAGCCCAACAAGCACATTAACTAGCCACAAAAACAATTTAATCAAATCAGCCCAAAATACATCAACCAACCCTTAACAAAAAAACAAGAACAATTGGGCCAACAAATATTAACCAGCCCATATAAAAAAAAATCCAGAATTATAAAATCGTTGCCCTCATTCTCTCTTTCTGCTTATAATTTTCACGCAGGCAACTTCCATCAGCAGAAATAAAAAAATAAAAAAAACTTCTTCCTCCGCTGACGGAGTAAGAAGAAAAGCAATAAGCTCAACCTCCGCGGACCAATTACTTCTCAATTCGTTCGTCCTTTTCTCGTACCCAAGAGGTCCGCCGACCGACACCATCCGACGACCTCTTTTTTCCAGATCTCAGCTGCCAACAATCTGATCTCCTCTGTCTGGAAGCAATACCTCTTTTTCCCAAAATTTCGTCCGCCACCATATTCCTCGTCTCCTCCACCCACAGTTCGTCCATTTTTTTTAATGAAATTTTTATCAGTTAAAAAAATAAAAACAGAGAGAGAAGAAGTTGAGGAATAAAAAATAAAAATACAAGGGAGACTCATGTTTTATATGCCAATGGTGAAAAATTGAATTCCAATTCTCTAAAATTTTTGGATGAAGAAAGAGGCGGGCTTGAAAGGGGGGGAAATGAAATTTTGGCAACCATGGTTAAAGATTTGTGCCTTTGTTTTCAAAAAATAAAAAATAAAAATAAAACAAAAGAGAAGACACGTGTTGGCCATTAAGCCGGTGAGGGCACGGTAGGATAGAATTTACCCCAAGCCAATAGTCATAACTAAGCACTCGAGTTAATTACTCCCAAATCACACAGCACTGACAAGCCTGTAAACCTAATCTACAATTATATGCCACGAGCAATCAGGCATCCCATTCCAGGTACTTTCAATCAAAAATCAGCATAATTCAGAAAGCATTACATCAATTGCCCGTGCCATCAGGCCGGGATGAATCCACAAAAGCACGCGAATTCTATCAAAAAGTACTAAATATTTAAGCAGATGCTCACACCAAAAACCATAAACCAATTGGCTAAAATCATATGCGCGCACAGTCATAGCTCAAACAAACCACACACCATTCAGAAGTCAGAACACCATTAAGCATAAATAGAAGAAAAAGAGATTCTTGGGGGGGAAAAGCTCAATTCATAAATAGTTGATCCACCAAATGCAGTTCTCAAAAGCAATAAACCGTTACTCATTACTACAAACTAAAATCGAAGTTCATGAAACAGAAAGCAATACAATGGAAAACTCTTCGAAACAAAAGCCCTATTACTTGGATCTCTGCCTCATCTTTCTGCGCTTCCTCTTCAACCTCCTCATACGCTTCTTCTTCCACTGCAAAACCCCATGAAAACAGCACGGAAATAAACAAACAGAGAGCAAGAGACTAAGCACAAGCTACTGCAATAACAATCGACAATAACTAAACGAAGGATCGAATCGAGATGCTTCACCTTGGCCCTCATTGTTGAAACAGAAGCTCTGGTGAAAGACTCCCTTCCGAAACCCTAAGAACAGATTGTCAATGAGGTAGATGATGAACTAAACCATATATAGCAACCCTTTTTCGCCCAACGAATGGGCCAGAGATGTTTGGGCTGATTAATACGGCTTTCAAGTAATCATGGGCTTTTTACTAAATTGTAGATCCTGAAAGCATTTTAGAAAGGCATGGGTCAAACAAAACAAGATGTTCGTGATATCGGCTTAGCTCGATTCATTGAAACTCAAAAATATAAATTTTAATGTAATTATTTAAAGCCCGACTCAAAAAAATCCGAGGTCAAACTCAATTCAACTCGTTTACATTTCTAGTGCCCAAAATCGAACCTCAAAGGCTCAAACTTTGCAATTCTATGTGTATGATGTCTATTCTCAAGTAATAAATAAAATGTATATGTTGATAAAGGTTTAGAGCAACTATGGTAAAGGTTTATAAACTTTAATTTTTACATTTCCAATACTCCACATCATCTAAACCTCATTTTTACTCTCAATATCACAAACCTCTAATAACCATAAACCTCACAAATCTTCATTTAGTGGACTCCGCATGTTTCCCACTTACTTTAATTTATATATCAATTTAGTTCATATTTACTAAAAAAATTACTAATAATTTTTTACAATGTCATATTTATTATATATCATAATAAATATATTTTACGCAAAATTAAAACTAAAAAAAATAATAATAAGTGAAATTTATTACACATAAACCTTACAATAATATAAAATATAAAAAGCTACATAGCGATAAAATTTAAAAAAAAAATCAATAATTAGAAAAATTTATTATACATAAATCTTACAATAATATAAAATATAGAAAACTACATGGCAATAAAAATTAAAATTTCCATACATGATCGATTTATTATTCTTAATAATCAGGTTCATTCCATATATGTTTTAACTTGATTAATATGTTCAAAATAATTTAGTAACATTAAAAAATTATTATCGTAAAAAATATTACGAAATGAATTAAAAATTTAAATATTGTATTCACAAAGGTATAATGAAGGAAAACATGAAATTAGGTAACAAAGGAATTAAGAAAAAAATAAACATTATATTTTGTATGTGAAGGAAAACATGAGAATAGGTACGCTGGATAAAAAAAACATGAAATTAGATAAGAAAAAGAAAAAGACTAAAGGGAACATGTTTGACAGGTGTGGGATTAAAAAGTGAGGTTTATGTGAGTGTTGAATGTTCAACACCAGATTGTAATGTTAAACCTCAAAGCTCCCAACTTTAATGGTAAATATTAAAAAGTGAAGTTTACAAACCTATTAAAAACCTACCGTTAAAGTTGCTCTTACAATATAACAATTTGATTCAATTGATTTGAGATGAATGCAATGAGATAATTTAGTTTAACAAAAATGCAAACATAGAACATATATATGATTCAACTACGATTATGTACAAATAGTCAAATATAATATGTACTATGAATGTTTAGTACATATCTATCATTATATAAAAAGAATAATCTTTTTACAAATTTAGAAACTTTTTCCCGCCAAAATCATTATATATATCCTAATATAGTAATTGTTAGACAAATCTAAATAGGCAAAAAAATCGGCTCATTTTTTTTAGTTTATCAAAACCGTTGTTTGACAATAAATATTTGTTTTTCTTTTTCCTATTTTTAGTATAAATCTACACGCTTATCTCTTCTGTTACAAAATCTCATTGCATACGTCTTCCGTGTTTAAAAAATTTCATCCCTTATCTATACAGATTTAAAAAAATAAAATAAAATAGAAACCAATTCATAATTACTACTAGAAATCCATTATCTTTAAAAAGAAAAAATAAAATAAAATAGAAACCAATTCATAATTACTACTGAAAATCCATTATCTACTTTAAGAAGCTAATTTTTATCGTTCTAATTACTAATATTTTTACAAATATTATAAGCTAACCATACAAAAAAGTATAATAATAATTTTGAAATGGTGTGTAATCAAATTTTTTTATATTATCTTATACAAAATAATTTTACATTGTTTGACCCCGAATCTTTAATTTATAATTATTAAGTATTTTTTATCTTTCTCTTTAATTTATAATTATTTTTTTACTTCCTCTTTTTAAATAGGATCAATAGTAGTTTCCACTTCGATTATTGAGTGACTCCAACTCGAGGTTTATTTATAATATTGTTTTCGTGCATCGCACGGGATATACACTAATTATTATGTACAAAATAATATATTTAACAGTGACCATTTTATGTCGATTATTGTTTGAGATCACTCACTGTAGCTGTTTATGGAATCTTACATATATATGGTCTGTGTTAATTAACTTAATTATTTATTCAACTCCAAGACATTTCAAATTGTGACAAAGGCTTCACCTTCAATTCTCAACAATATTCAACATAATAATTTTGATATTCCTCGTATATAATTCTCGAATGTGCTGAGCCTAAATAACAGGCTCTCATAGTTTGTAATCTTATATAACAAAATTACATGCTCTATTATTTGGCTTGAATATATTTAATTTATTTACAATCTAAAGATAATTAGTTTCAAATTATCTATAAATATGTTAATTATTTATGTCATATTAGATGTATTAATTACATTTTAATATAAATTCCATCATAACCATGAATTGTAATAAATTTTAAAAGTCAATAATTTTTACTTAAATTATGTTTTTCTTTATAACAATAATAAAACTACTTATATTAACTAAAAAAATAAAATTATTTATCAATTAATATATTTATGTTTAAAATAATTATATGGTATACGTTAAAAAAATTATTATAATATAACACTAATAAGTCACACAATCTTTCTAACATACATAATAATATATATTGTTTTTGTAAAAACTAATAAATTTTAAAACAATTTTTCTCATTAATTTAAAATTTAAGAAAAAAAATTTTAACAAGCACCTACGTCCTATAGTACTAGTTCACTAGTAAAACACCAACACAAATATCACAAATACTGACTTGCTATTCTGTGAAGTTTCTTCTAATTTACAAGCATCTAACAAAAAAGGGCTGTGTACAGCAACTAACACATACACAAAATTACAAACTGTTCCAGGTAGAATTCCCATTTTAAATCAACAAACAACTCTGGACCAGCCAAAATTTCATGACTTTAATGCAACTTAATAATCTCATTCCTGAGCAACTGAGTCCATAGGCTTTGAATCATCAGGCAGCATCCTCTAACTTCTTCGGTTTCTTGCCTGCAGAAACATTTCACAATGTTTGAAATTTTTTATGTTTTGAAATGCAACTTGTTATATTGAAAATTAATTAATATCTGAAAACAGACTTTCAAATTACATCACCTAATCCAAAAGTCCCACTACGTTGAACAATTAATTTGATATTTTGGCTTCACAAGATTATGAGATTCACAGCATTTGATCAATCCCAAGAAACAAATATGCAGCCTATAGGAATATTGGCAACAGGGAAAGGAGGAAATCAATAGCACCATCGATCACCTCGGCAAAGTTGCCTCTTGATTCCAACAAAGTTATCAGAAGAAAGAAAACTCAAAACCCAAAATGTTTAGGAAAGAAAACATGAATTTCTATCAGTGTAACTATGACTATATAGAACTTCATTGGATATAACCATCGCCCATCAAAGTGATCATCATTTAGAGAATCATGCTTTTCCTCATAAAAATGCATTCTTAGTTCATAATAGCTTTGAGATTCAGGAAGGCAGAACAAAATAGGAATACGAAGTTATGAAGTCAGGATATGCAATACCCAGCAATTAACAAGATGATGGAAATCGAGATCTTTTAAGGAACTGGATAATATGTTGGCCGCTAGAAAGAGTGGCACAATCAGAAATTCACCACCCAAAAATGTCTAGCATCGGTCAAATGTATTATAGGCAACAGGGAAAAAGAGGAAATCAACAAGGATTTGATCACCTCGGCAAAGTTGCCTGCTAAGGGACATAAAAAATGGAAAAAAAAAATGTATGCAGTTGAAGTGTTGAGACCAAGTTAATATTTTTTAAAAAAAAATCTAGTTTAATAATTTTGCAAAAATTAACAACATTGATTTAATCCCCTGCACTCTAGCATCATATGGATATCAACCATAGCTCATAAACATGTTCATCGCAGAGGAGACATGGACTCAAGCACTAGCAAAGACAAGTGCACGAAAGTATCCACATTACACAAAATCACATGCGAATCCCATCGATCTAAATATACAGGAAAAAATAAAATTAAACAATGTTTCCAGAAAACATATAGGACAACATAAAGCATTCTCAGTAGCATTTGTGAGCACAAAAGCTCGCATATTTTTAGTATCTCCTGCTCTGATACGAGTGCCTATGCATAATTTCAACAATGCTTTCTCATAAATGTCAACTAAATTATCTCAAAACACGAAACAAATTCAAAGCTTTGAGCATATATACACATAAGCATCAGCAGAAGTTATTCAGAAGTAAATAAAAAATAAATCTGCCGCGGATTTGTGTATGATGACAACTTCAGGAGAGGTGAGATCCAAATCCCTCTCTTTTCTTTCGTCACCCGACATTTTTCTAATCTTCACCGAAAAACAACAAAAATACCCGCCATGAGCTGAAAACGCAAAACAAATGAGCTTAGACCAAAAAGAAAACGAGCCCACCTCCTAAGTTTTGATATGGAGATGAGGATACAGAAACTGAGAGTGGAGCATATATTAACAGAAATGAATTAGGGTCTGAGGTCGGCGTCATGAACACGAGTGGTGTGCGTTATATAATGCCATTTTCTTCGAGATTAGGGTTTTTGGCAACCACAGCCAACTGAAGTTACACTTTCTATTATTATAATATTATTATTTTATTTTTATATCATTAAATTGTTTTTTTAATAAATAACTAGTTTGATTGGCATAGCAAATCTTTAAAATTACTTGAACAATCTATCATTATATAAAAAGAATAATCTTTTTACAAATTTAGAAACTTTTTCCCGCCAAAATCATTAACTATATCCTATATATAGTAATCGTTGGACAAATCTGAATAGGCAAAAAAATCGGCTCATTTAATTGTGTAAAGATTTGTTTCTCTTTGTCCTGTTTTTTAGTTTATCAAAACCGTTGTTTGACAGTAAATATTTGTATTTCTTTTTGCTATTTTCAGTATAAATCTACACGAACTTATCTCTTCTGTTACAAAATCTCATGGCATACGTCTCACGTGTTTAAAAAATCTCATCCCTTAGCTATACAGATTTGAAAAAATAAAATAAAATAGAAATCAATTCATAATTACTACTAGAAATCCATTATCTTTAAAAAGAAAAAATAAAATAAAATAGAAACCAATTCATAATTACTACTAAGAAATCCATTATCTACTTTAAGAAGATGAAAGTCTTTAAAAAGAAAAAATAAAATAAAATAGAAACAAATTCATAATTACTATTAGAAATCCATTATCTACTTTAAGAAGCTAATTTTCATCGGTCTAAATACTAATATTTTTACAAATATTATAAGCTAACCATACAAAAAAGTATAATCATAATTTTGAAATGGTGTGTAATCAAATTTTTTTATATTCTCTTATACAAAATAATTTTACATTGTTTGACCCCGAATCTTTAATTTATAATTATTAAGTATTGTTTATCCTCCTCTTTAATTTGTAATTTTTTTTCTTCCTCTTTTTAAATAGGATAAATAGTAGTTTCCACTTCCGCTTTGAGTGACTCAAACTCGAAGTCTATTTATAATATTTTTAATTTAATAATGTTCCCGTGCATCGCACGGGGTACACACTAGTTTGTATAATAATAATCTAATTATTTTTCAATTAATTAAATGGTAACAGGATCTCTTACTCATTACATTTATCAACAATATTGTCAAAATGGACTAAAACACAGGCAGGTTGGGCTTTGATTCTTTAGGCATGGCAGTGAGCGGGCCTAGATCGGTCGGCCTACTGGCCGTGGACTTTGGTAGAGTGTAGGTTGGCCCGTTGATAATTAAGAAAATAAATTCTTAAATATAATTAATGTATAATTTGGTAAATCTAACTGAAAATATAACTCATAATTTGGAAGTTAATATTGAAATTATAGACGATAACTCATAGGTTGCATCAGCAGTAAGAGCCTTGAAGCCCAAGAGCATCTAACTGAAGGTATACAATTTGTATTTGTGTACAGTTGTATGTATATATAGATAGTAACTTTACGAAACTGTGGGGATGAGCCGAGGAGATGGACCATAAGGACGGGCTTAGCACCACGTACAAGTTGGGCCTCGAGCGTGCAGCCGAGGAGGGGTGGGTCAAGATAGACGAACCCCAAGTTGAAAACTGTCTCTTAGTTAAATTGATGTAAAAGGTAGCTATAGTGTCATAATGTTCAAATGTGGTTGGGAATGGTTAATAAGGAGATGCATGGTATAATGTGTGGACATAAGCACACAAACATGTCTCTTATGCAGTATTGTAGTTTCAAGTGTTATTGGCAAATGTGCTTGGATGTCCGGCCTTGAAGCTTTTCACTCTTCTCCCATTGGTCGAGGCTCTTATGCAGTATTGTAGTTTCATGTGTTATGCAAATGTTCTTGGATGTCCGGCCTTGAAGCTTTTCACTCTTCTCCCGTTGGTCGAGCTACCTAACGATACCCTTTAAATGTCAAGTTCTCTTATGGATTTCAGCATAATAAATCTACATCATAAGTATGTAAAGACGAAAGGGGACACCAAGTTCAATCGGACAATGCAATTGGTAGGGCTGGAAAAGTTGCCTTAACTGATAGCCCCAAAATTCTCAGAAGAAAATTGTATTTGTTCATGCTGTGTCGGTTGACCCATAACCAACACTCCAATGAAAGGATTGACAGAGAAGGCGACCCAGAGTAGGACCAAAACTCGTTGCTTTACCACTTGGTCACTGACATTCATCATATTTTCATGCATTATGAGTGATATAATGTGATATTTGGCCATGGTTATCGTGTGATTGTGCACCATTTTGTTTTATTTATTAATCTATGATAGAGGTGTTTTTGTCGTTGGTTTTGCAGGAAATATGCCCGGAAAAACGTTGGAAATGGAATCGGGACGAAAAACGGCGAAAACAGGTGCAGAAGAGGACACACGACTCGTGTGGCTAGTGACACGGGTCGTATGAGTTGAGAAAATAACAAGCGCAGCTGCGGCTTTTTCACACGGGTCGTGTGGGTTGAGACACGGGTCGTGTGGCCTCACACGACTCGTGTGACCCGGTCGTGTGAGTCTGGAAGTTCGCCGAAATGTTGAAAAAAGTCACACGACTCGTGTGATGCGCATACCAGATCTGCGGGGCATAGGATTCTTGTGCGATTTCTTTCCTTTTTCGACCCAGAATTGCCCTACAGTATAAAACAGAATTGGAGAACTCGTTTTTGGGACTTTTGACACCATTGGAGGCCTAGAGAAAGCACGAAACACACGAGGGATTCGAGGAAGTCAAGATTGAAGATTCGGGAACTAACGACGACAATAATTCTTCTTTCTTTTCTCTTTTTCTTCTTCATTGAACTCATGAATATATTTATTTTGAGTTTTGAGAATATGTTTAGTAGCTAAACTTTTTAGGGATTCTAGGATTTGTGAGTACTATGATTATTTTATGAAGTGATTTTGTTTATTCATTCCGGTTTATCATTCGTTTATCAATTTCTTGTGCTTTTATTAATTGTGTGAATATAGGGCCCCCGCATTTGTGCATATTTGTGATTGACTTGAGACCGAGAAGAGATAGTTGATTGCTAGAATTGGGAAATTCATAACGTAAGAGACTAAACAGACCGAGAGGTTGATAGAATCTTGCGAGGGAACTAGAATCTTAGGAGCTTATGGGAGTTAGCTGTTCATCTTGAGATCGAGAGGAGATAGATAACAATTAATATCTACGATTTAACTTGTTCGAGAGAAAGGTGTAAATTACTTTAGCGATTATCCCTACGAATGGTAGAATTAAATAAGGTTTGAATGAATAAGAAATCTTTGCTAGAATAATCCCGAGGAAAGTATAGCCTAGAATCTATTTTCACATTTCTGATTTATCTTAGAACAAGCCTTCATTAGTGTTAGAATTTATTTTGCAATCATTCATTAGTTTAGAATAAAATCACCATTTAAATTTGCATTAGACTGAATAATATTTAACCGTTTACATTTTGATACTTAGTTATTTTGACAACAATCTCTGTGGAATACGACCTTGCTCGCCACTCACTATAGCTATACCGTACACTTGCGGATAGTGAAAATATTTTGCGAACAGTCACGCCCCATTTGAATTTCTAATGTATGACTTTTAGACAACGAGAGTTCTTTTAGCTAGTAATAAAGACGACGATCTTTATCGTTATGATATGACCGATATCTGATGATCTATTCCTCTTTTCCATACCACCCCAGTTTTCTAGAAATGTAATCGTGTGGATTAACACTCTGTCGAGCTCCATGGGAAATTGATGTTGGATATCCTTGATAGTCTTAGGAGGCTGCATGTTCAACAATTAACACAACTGTATTATATTTTATTTTTGTTTGGCCTTAATACTGTTAGAATATACACTTGTGAGTTGTCTCACATCGTCTATACAAGAAAAATAGACCTAACTTAGTAAATATTTAAGTGTTATTGACACAACTGTTTACCTGAAGGAAGGAACATGCATTATGAGTATGACTCAAATTCCACCCCTACCAGGCTACCATGTACACAATCACATCGATTTAACGGTAAAAAAAAGTATGGATAGTCAAAAATTTCACTCAACTGCTAGAAAAAAGTAATATGTTGATATTAAGTACCAAAAAGCTATGTATGTGTCCACCACTACATATTCAAATCTTGTGATATTTAAAAATCATATCTATGGTGTACGTTAATCTTCTTATCATATCATAAGAGAGGAAGACTAATAATAAATAACATAATTAAAAATAAAATAATGGTTAATTAAGCCACAGACAAATCACACTTCACCAGGCAAAAACAGGTCCTATCTTTGTACATTTTGTGCTGATTATTCAAGTGTTATCACAGCTGTCTAACTTTGTCTTCATAGCTTCAATAATTATTGTAGGATAAATGTTTATAAATTATACACACACTAATAAAGACAAGGTGATCATTAAACAAGAATCACTAACCTCAAATTTGCGAAAATTGAGCCTTAATTATGTATTTTTTTCAGAAATCTTGTGCCAGAACTCCGTTTCTACATGCATGATAGACTTGACACAATATATTAAACCATAACTTATTATTTTACTATTTTTTATCACTTCGTAATTAATTATTATTTTTTTATAAAAGATAAATATATAAAGAAAATAGGTTGAATGAAATGGATATCCAATTGCATATTCTTCCAAAGAATAAACGTTTGTTACAGAGCTATTGAATGAAAACTATATAATAAGAATTATATTTATTTTTATTTCCCGGGAAAATACCAAAAACTCATAGAAATATTCCATTTTCCCCTGAAAAATACTGAAAACGCATTAATCGAATATATCAATGTGTTATGCCGATTCTCTTGGTTCACTCTCTGCCCATAAAGACCATCAGCTCGCCCCTTTCTCTCTTCTCCCCTGTCAACAAACCACTAAAACAGGGCACTCTCTCACTATCCTCAGCAGTAGGGTTTTTCAATTGCATCTGTATTTTTCGTATACGTCAATACAGTTGCAGCTTCGCTCTGCATCACAGCCGAAAATGGATGTTTATTCGCTTCATCTAGCAATGGCGGCTCTCTTTGGAGCGTCGTTTGTGGCGGTTTCGGCATACTATATGCACCGGAAAACTCTGAACCAGCTGCTCGAGTTTGCCAAGGCGATAGAGAGAGATAGAGAGGACGCGGCGATGGGGGAGGACGGCGGAGACGCGGCGGAGCTCGTGAGGAAGTATCCTTCCGGGAGGCGGAGGAAGGGGGACGGGGGGCCCTACCGCCGTGGTTCGGCGTCTTTGCCGGACGTGACGACGTTTCCCGGCGGCGGGGTGGGTGAGGTGGGCGAGAGAAGGAATGGTTCGGTGTATATGGATGCGGTACCCGTGGGGCTGCCGAGGCTTCGCACGTTGGCTGAAGGTATGGGATTGTATCGATTTTCTTCTGGATGATTGATTGATGGACTAAAATATATTTAACTGTTATAATGTGTGAACTTTATCTGTGTGTGTAAATGGAGACCTGTTATCATGCATTTGGAAAGTAATCCTAAGCTTGACTGGAATCTGCAATAGCTTTCTTGTGGTGTAATGAAAACAGTGTATGGTTTTGATGTGAATTTATTTAGTGCGACTATTTTTGTACTAATTGAGAATCCTGTTTGGTGTGGTGAATTTGAATACAGTTGTTGATTACTTATTCTAGTATACTTATTAATGGATTATATATTTTAATGTGTATTTCATTTCCCGTTCAATGTTTATGATACAATTGATTATCTCAGTAGTGAAGCTATTACTATTAACTAGCTGTTAAGTTCTACACGGTCATTCTTGTTGCTGTTATATTTGTTCATGCTGTTCACCTATTGTGGCAGGTCCAAAACTATACATTTGACATGCTCTACACTTCATCTGCAAGGTCCTAGCATTATATTGAAAAAATTTGTATATTTGTAAAGGAAGCTGCTCCCTTCTTCTAAGAACTGCCAGAAAACAACAAAACAAAACAAACTGTGGCTGTAATGCCTTTATGCCGCTATACATAAAATTGATTATAATCTGCTATCACTTCCTATATTATTTATGTGTGCTCATATTTTTTTTGTAGCAAGTATGTATTTTTTGTGTTGCCTTTGTTTGTGTTGCTCCAAATATTTTGTTTCTATGCCTTACATACTGTTGAACTGGCTACATCCGTTTCCTTTTATCAAAACAAACAGTAAAAAATGAATTGGAAAAATGAAATGACATCTTGGCTGTTGTTACGCCCAGCAAGTGGATACACTTCTCTACTTCACTGGTTTTCCTTGTGAAATATTTTCAGATCGATATTACATTTTCTCATATTAGTATATTGGTTATGCAATATTCAAAGATAGCATTTTTCTGACATGCCAGCTATTTTTTCCTGATAAATCTCCATGCTTCTTACTTAATTTACCATTTCTCAACTTGGTTTAGCATTAGTGACTTAATTCATTTCAGGTGACTCTGGTAATGTGAGTTCAGCAAACAGAGTTGGACATCTTGTTCGGCCTACTTCCCCTAAATCGCCTGTTGCTAGTGCAAGTGCATTTGAAAATGTAGAAGGTTCGGACGATGAAGATATTATGACCGATAGTGCTAAGCTAGAAACTGCATATCTTCATGTTAATGGAAATGCGGTGAGTTGGTTGCTATAAATTGCTTACTCAAGCTCTATTTCTTGTTTGCTACATGCATCGTGCCTTTCTTTCCACACTCGCCTGCAAACATATCTTTTTTATGACCTCTGACTGGGAATGCTTGTTCCAGAATGTATCTGAGCCCATAAATGCTAATGGTGAAGCAATGCCCATTTCTGCAAGCATGATTCGCTCGCATAGTGTATCTGGTGACCTGCATGGTGTTCAACCTGATCCTGTAGCAGCTGATATTCTGAGGAAAGAACCAGAGCACGAGACTTTTGTACGATTGAGAATTTCCCCCATGGGTATTGCTCTCATTGCGTTGTTTTGATGTATCACATTATTACCTGTTCATGAGTGGATTTAGACATTGCTTGATGGAGAATCCTTTGACTGCTGTTGAGTTAAACATAGCTGAAAATTGTTTCTTCTACTTGACCATGATGGTTCCCTTATAGGGGAAGGTTACATTTTAGCTTGTTGAAAGCTGATTTCACCTTTTCCCATATTATCCTTATGTCACCCTATTTCTCCTTTTCTGTTTCTTGTGGACGTTGGGTTTTCTTATTGCTTGTATAAGCGTACGAGGATAGCTTGATCTGCCTTTTCTCATTTGCCCTTTTGTACATGCAGATTCCTTTTCTCCCTTCTTGCCTGTTGCTTATGCCTAGTTTTTGCATGTATTTGTGGTTTTCACTGTTTTGTTTTTTCCACATTTATTGCTGCTAGAGATACCGTCTCTGGATGAAGCAGAGGTCTATCGTACAGTGCAAGATTGCCTTGAATTGCGGAGAAGTTATGTCTTTAAAGAAGCTGTTGCTCCATGGGTGACAGAAGTTATATCTGATCCCACCACTCCAAAGCCGATTGAGAATCCATTTGATCATACTCCAGTGGGGAAGTCAGATGTAAATCTCCTCAGCATTATAACATGAACACTGTGCTTGATCTGATCTACTCAAACTTCAGAACATTTCTTTATAGCATTAAACTGTAAGTTTAACCATCAGTGTCTTGATAAATTGAGTTAAAATTGCTGCAGCACTACTTCCAAATGGAAGATGGGGTGGTTCATGTTTATGCGAATAAAGATGGTAAGATGCGAGAAAACCTTACTGACGTTATTCTTCTGATATTTGTTTCTCCGTTATCTGATGCGGTTACTTTCTTTTCACCAGCAAAAGAAAAACTTTTTCCCGTAGCTGATGCTACAACATTTTTCAGAGACCTGCATCATATCCTTAAGGTCATAGCAGCTGGTAATATCCGAACTTTATGCCACCACAGGCTGGTTCTTCTAGAGCAGGTTGATGTATCTTCCAATTATGATTTATGCATTAGTTATTTCTCTTTGAATTAATAATTTATTGATACTCTCAAGTCTCAACATGTATGTGCCTCAGAAATTCAATCTTCATCTGATGCTTAATGCGGACAGAGAGTTTTTGGCTCAGAAAAGTGCACCGCATAGAGATTTTTATAATGTTAGGAAAGTTGACACACACGTCCATCACTCCGCTTGCATGAATCAGAAGCATCTTCTACGGTTTATAAAGTCGAAGTTAAGGAAGGAACCAGATGAGGTACTGCTTTATTTTCTAGCATGATCAGTCTATTTTCTTTCGTAACTGGTATGGTTTACTCAACGCAATTGTAGGTTTATGATTTTATGCTGCTTTATGTGACAAAGGTTTATATTCCCATTTTCAGGTTGTTATATTCCGAGATGGGACATATCTGACTTTAAAAGAAGTGTTTGAGAGCTTGGACTTAACTGGGTAAGTACAAAGATTTTAGTGAAAATACTAATGGAAGATGAAAGAGTTCCATAGATACTGTTTGTTCTCACAGTTAATTCCTTTATCTACTACCTCAACCGGTTTCTCACATTCTGTCCATAGCTTCTACACAAGTTGCTGATTGTCTTATTAATATAAAATGACAGGTATGACCTCAATGTTGATCTTTTGGACGTTCATGCTGACAAAAGCACCTTTCATCGCTTTGACAAGTTCAATTTAAAGTACAATCCCTGTGGTCAGAGCAGATTAAGAGAAATATTTTTAAAACAGGATAATCTCATTCAAGGTACATGCTCTCCTTTTCATCGCCCTGATGGAACATTAAAGTTAATACTTGAAAAATTGTAGTCGTCAATCTATAGTGCAACTCAACATCACCAATGATTTAGACATATACAGTATTATTCATTATAGCAAGTTCTGACATAGTTTCACTATTTTATTCTGATTCATTTCTGCATCTTTAATCTGATAACATGTTTTTGTTGATGGACTCCAAGTTTAACTTGTAATTTTTCCAACAGGTCGTTTTCTTGCAGAATTAACTAAGCAAGTGTTTACGGACATGGAAGCAAGTAAATATCAAGTGGGTCTATGATAAACTGTTGATACATTTTTTTAGTGCTTAATTTATAAGGGCCAACACATTTTATTTGTAATTTGTTTAATGGATTATAGGTGGGAGGAATGTCGACCTTGGTTGACTACTTGACTCACTTTACACACGTGTTACGTTGAAGCATGTCTCATTTGAGTTATTTGCAGCATAAGCACTCATTTTCTACCTTCATTATTCTAACACATTCTCTCTTTTGTATCTTTGTGTTGATATTTATGTTTTTTTTCCCTTTTGGTGTGTATGATACTCACTTATGCTTAAACGAATCTAAAAATATCTCCACATGTAGCCTTTAAGTATTTCCGTGCTGTTGTAAATCCATAGTGCGTGGCCTATGGTAATATATTCTGCTGAGGACATGAGAAAATCACAACTTATGATCTTTCTTGTTTGAGTGTTTTAATTTTACTTTCTAAGGTTGTTGTATTACACCTGTACAGATGGCTGAATATCGAATATCCATATATGGCAGAAAGATGAGTGAGTGGGACCAACTAGCCAGTTGGATTGTAAATAATGATTTATACAGTGAAAATGTTGTATGGCTGATTCAGGTAAAAAAAAAAATAGTGTATTTGCTTCTGTTTAATATAGCTGTGATCACTGATGTTGAAATTGATGACTGGTGACCATATCTTCCATATGACTAATGGGTGTTACATGCCTTCTGTGTACTAATTAGCACTTCAGTTTTATCCTGAGCATCCACTGGGAGAGCAAACATTTGCTTGCTGACATGCATATTTTGAAATCAACACAATCAAAGTTCAGCATCATCATATACGTGGGAAGGGTGTTACATTGTGAACTTTAAGATATCCGATGGATATGGAATTTATTTTGATGCATCTGTAGTGTTATATGGACCCAGTCTATTAAAGCATCAGACATTAAATTCTTGTTGTGGGAATTTTTATGAGAAAATCCAAGTATAGAGTTGTCTGTTCACTTCCAGTTATCCAAATTATTATTGATAATTTGAGAATTTTTTTCTCTCATGAATAATATTTAGAGTCGGCTTTCAATTTGTGTGGATATTGGTGCCGTGTCCTCAGCTTGAGATATTAATAAACTTTGGCTAGGTAACTTCATAAAATGGAAAAGTTGTATGTTGATATTAATTTGAGATGGGTCAAAATAAGCTGAATGTGATATTGTGATGGAATATTAATGCTATCATGCTAAAAGTATTAAATTTGCTTAGTGTTTCTAATACATAAATGTGAAGAACACATACTTGTCACAATCCCTCTTTCATTTATTTCTCAGCACCATTATATCCATATTTTTGTCCCCAGACATATAAATGATCTTATTATATTTTTTAAAATTTAAAAATCCAGCTTCCAAGACTCTACAACGTGTACAAGGAAATGGGAATTGTGACCTCATTTCAGAGCATCCTCGATAATATATTTCTGCCTTTATTTGAGGTTACTGTCGATCCAGATTCGCATCCACAGTTGCATGTTTTCCTGAAGCAGGTTTGTCGATTCCCATCTTATTGTGTAAACATATATGAGGTTCTCAACCAAAATTTTAGTGAAAGCGAGTTACTGTGACTGAGAAGAGGTGCAGTTTTTCCATTGGGGCTTCGACTTGTTCTGAAGTACCAGTTTTCGTCTTGCACAGGTTGTTGGATTGGACCTTGTGGATGATGAAAGTAAGCCTGAGAGGAGGCCTACAAAACACATGCCTACGCCAGCTCAATGGACCAATATATTTAACCCTGCATTTTCGTATTATGCATACTACTGTTATGCTAACCTTTACACTCTGAATAAGGTTGGTCCATGAGGGTTGCTGTTAATGAAGCTTCTTTTACTGTTTGTTACGTGAAGAGGATAATCTTTTTCCATCAATGTTTCCAATAATCTTCCCCTAAAAAAAAGGGATTTTGTTTGGGAAATACTTGATTGTGTTTTTTTTGCAATTGTAGTTATTTATCTTCCATTTTTTGAAAATCTAACTAAAATTTTGAATTATATACATTTTCAGCTTCGTGAGTCCAAAGGTATGACAACTATTAAGTTCCGACCTCATTCTGGAGAGGTGAACAATTAATTTTCTTTGCCACATTGCCAAGTAATTTTACTAATTTCTGACATATTATCACATGATCAGGCTGGTGATATTGACCATCTTGCCGCAACATTTCTCACGGCTCACAATATTGCACATGGAATCAATCTTCGAAAATCTCCCGTGCTTCAATACTTATACTACCTAGCCCAGGTAAAGTAAAGAACATGGAAAAAAGGAAAAAAACAAAAGAACCAAATACACTATTTGCTTGGTCTGTTTTTTATTTACTAATATTTAAACTAGCGTCTGAATTCAGATTGGTCTGGCTATGTCTCCTTTGAGCAACAACTCTTTATTCCTGGACTACCATCGTAATCCTTTTCCCATGTTTTTCCTCCGGGGCCTCAATGTATCCCTATCAACTGACGACCCACTACAAATTCACTTGACAAAAGAGCCCCTGGTAGAAGAATACAGTATTGCAGCCTCTGTGAGTTACTCACAATCTGGTTTTATCTTCTTGTCAACTACATTTACGACTGAAAAAGTTTTGCATTGCTTACTCTGTTATTGCAGGTGTGGAAATTAAGTTCATGTGATTTATGTGAGATTGCTCGTAACTCGGTGTATCAGTCTGGATTCTCTCATGCTTTAAAGGTTACTATTTCCACAATTTGCCATCTTTCACGGTTTTAAAAGTTATTTTGGCTTTTAATCTTTGCTTCTTTGGGGAAAAAGAATAAAATAAAATAAAAGACAACACCTGAGGCTGAATTATATCGCAGCTGAGACAGCTTTCATGCTGGGATATATTTTCATTATTTAATTGCCTGATCAATCTAGTAATCAAGGGAAAAAAATGAGACATTTGGATTTTGGTAAGGGTAAACTAGGCACCACATATTAGAAGTTTGATTCTGATTCTTGTATGGTTTGGAAGCTTCATGCCTATCTAACAATATATGTGTTTGAATGACAAAAAATGTTCGAGCTGACATAAATAAATGTCGTATCTTTGTAAAAATGTTCGAGCTGACATAAATAAATGTCGTATCTTTGTGATTATAAGTTGGTCCACTTTGTGCAACATCTCTAAGTTTAAGGGGTCTTTGACTGTTCATTTTNTTTATTGTTCATTGGATAATTTTTTTTATACAGTCACACTGGATCGGTCAGGAGTACTTCAAGCATGGTCCTGATGGAAATGACATTCATAAGACAAATGTACCTCATATTAGACTTGAATTCCGTGACATGGTATGCGCTTGATTTACGAAGTGACCACTACTTTAGTTTCCTTCTGGGAAAACAAAAGTCAGTTCTTGATAACTTCATAAACTATGAAACTTTATTGCTTTTAGATATGGAGAGAGGAAATGCAGCTGGTTTATCTGGGCAAAACAAACTTCCCCAGGTTTATTGACCCATGAAGTGCTTCCCTAATGTGCACTACATGGATTACTCGATTGACCCGAGGTATTTATGAAATTGCATTCTAGTTAAATTTTCTTTGCTTAGGAATGAGACGGACGCTCAATTTTCAATTTGGTACACATCCAGATAACTCTTACAAGAGTTTGCAGACCATACCATATTTTTGGCTGAAAATTTCCGAACAGTTACTTTGTCCATACCATATTTCTCAAATTGACAATAATTGCTCCATGCCGGTGATTTCAGGAACGGGTGGCCTAGGTTATTAGCTGCTATTTGAGGAACATGAGGACCCTATTCCTGCCTATTTAGGCTTTGTGCTTTGGCCATTATTAGAGCCAATTGGTGATGCAAGAAGGTTGTTCGATAATTCTATGTTTGGTTTTGCATCTCTGGTTACTGGAAAAGAGAGTGAGCAAATCGCAAGAATCTCAACGGAAAACCCACAGCCGTAACTAAAGTTTCTTGTGGTATATTTTTGTTTACTGTAATATAAAAACTTCAGTACGGAGTGTAGTACCAACCAGCTGAACTTTGTAGCTTTAAGTGCCAAGGTAGTAATAGTACCAATGCCTGCTAAATAAATAAAATGTTTCCAATGCCAGTTTTTTGTGGTTTCGAGAGGAGAGTTAGAACGTACTTGGTTGATGTTCTGTTCCCTGGCTTTTTTTGTTTTCTGAATCTGTTGTGTCCATCACTCAGTCTAGAAAATATGAACTTTTGAGTGGTTTTATAATATGATACCAATGTTATGATGGGAGTAGATGAGATGATTTCTTGTGGTGAGATGGTGATTTAAATATTTTTACTAACGAACTAGAAATATAGTGTTATAATCGACCGAACCAGATGAGCTTGGGTTGTTCAACGTCGTGTTCGTTCGTTTAATTTTCGAGCTCATTCGTTTAATTGTTTGTCAAAGTTCGAATTTGTTCGTTTTCAAATAATATAGGACATAATTTTTTTAAATATATTTGATTAACTCGAAATTTCGTTCGAACTCGAAATAAAAAAGTAAAATATAAATATTTTTATATTTTAGATTTTTTTATTAAAAATATTATGTAAATATATAAAAATTAAAATAAAATTATATTAAATCACTGTTCGCGAACATTATCGAACATTCGCGAACGAGCTCATGTTCGTTCGATTATTCAACGAGCCTAATTTTTTGTTCCAACTCGGCTCGATTAACAAACGAACGAGCTTTTGTTCGCGAACGTTCAGTTCATTAACAACCTTAAAATAGAGGAACAAATAGCATGTTTGTTATATTGTTTTGTACTGATAATATTTAGTAAAATAATACTTGGATGTCAAAAATTAAAGTAATGTTATGTGACAGAAGATGAAATCTGCAGCCAACAATATTTCGTTGACAACCACACGGAACCTTTGAATCTCTATGATTGTCACATATATTTGTCAAATCACAGCTTTCAGACATGAGGTAGCTACACAAGTTTTTTAACGCATACATCTTAATCTATCATATGTTTGGACAATAGGTAAAAAGATGATAACGTAGAAGACTTGCTTTTGTGTGACCTGAAACTGAAAAAATTCCACATCTGTGTGCGAATGTCACAATAATAAAAACAAACTGCGATTTGACAACTTATAACTTTATTATGCATACGGAATGGAGCAAATATAGCTGCATTGAAACAATCTCTCGTGGAGCATATATCTTTAAGAGAAGTCACAAAAATGTAGCATAAAATTAAATAAGTCGGAAAAATGCCTGACAATCTATGCTCTCACTATCTTGTGCCGCTTTATCTCCTCACTTACTCCATCTGCAAGCGAAGTAGCATCATAATTCTTTCCAAAGAACTTCACAAATTCCATATTTGGATCCATTAGGTACCTGCAATGCCATTAACGGTTAGTGAAAACAATAATCACCGTTTGACTGTCTTGCCAAATTCTACATTGTCATTGAACTTGGTAAAACATCGTAAATCACTTAAGAAAATGTTATTATATATACATTGCATGAAGGACATGAGAAAATCATACAACATATATAAGAAGATGTCACACACTAGTGAAGTTAATATCTATCATGGCCAAATTTAAAGCACTGAAGGTTATACATACATGACAATAGAATGATCCACAAGATAGTCTGAACCTTCTTCTTCCGTTTTCATATAGTACACACGATAAGCTCGTGCGGCTTTCTTAACATCCTCCGGTGAACCAGTGAGCCCAATTAATTTCGGATGAAATTCTGCACAAACGCTATGACACTATTAATCCAAATATTTTTTTTAAGAATACTTTTTGCTTGCATGTCAAAAGTATAAATTTACCTTTGACGTACTCTCGAACTTGTTCAACAGTATCTCTTTCCGGATCAACAGATATGAAGACTGGCACAACTTCCACTTTAGACTTCTCTTCTGCAAACACAGAAAAATATAACAAACTAATTGATAAAAGTCGATGATGGAGTTGGGAGAGAGGCGGGAGCTAAATTTGACTAATTTGACTGACTGATTCTGTCGATTGCTTCTGCCATCTTTTGTAGCTCATCTGGGCATATATCAGGACAGTGTGTGAATCCAAAATAAATCAAGTTCCATTTTCCTTTGAAGTCCTTATCGGTAACGGGTTTCCCATTATGATCAATGAGGCTAAACGGGCCACCAATAGACGCCTTCCCAACAGATGGTCCCTCTTTTACTGCAGTCGAGGCATTTGTTATCCCTGCAAATTATTGTTCATTATACATCACAACTTAGACGAGCTAACCATAGACATAAGAGATATAGTTTGAATAAGAAGAAGAAAAAAACTACCGCAAAGAAAGAACAAGTTCTGCAGGAAAGTGCAGCTGAAACCATAAGCATCAATAAAAATCACTAGCTATGCCCAAAAATGAAGTCATATGCAAAGAAAATAACAACCAAAATCAAATATCCAAACCAGCCAACCAATCTGAGAGCCCACATCTTGCTTGCTTGTCCCGAAAAATAAATAATAAATAAAGAATTAGATATACTCTATTAAATGCTTATCTTCCACATCGTATATATGCCTTTGGTCATCAAAATCAAATCCATGAAGCAATTACTTCAAGATAATGAGAGCTTTTAGACAAGAAAGAAGCAACATCCTAAAAAAATAAATATGAGGGGCTACAATCAACCATCTTGCTTATTAAACTTCACATGGAGAGAGCGAGAGAAAGAGAGAGAGAGAGAGAGGTGCAATGGATTTTTCTTCTAAGAAGAGAAGAAAAGTGGAAAATCCACATGAAAAGCTGGCAGAAACTTAGTAAGAGCTCATCATCCATCCAGAGCCACCCCATATCCATTGATTATCCTTCAAACAGAACTTTATTTTAATTATTATACCATGTTGACAACTCACTAAACTTAGTCTAGTAAAAGGTAAGAATGCTGCAACAGAAACTCCTCGTCACATAAGGATGGATCATGGAACACACCAACTTCTATTTCCCAGTATTGCATTAAATAAAGACAAGCAATAATTTAGTTGCAACTTCTGAGATAGTATATAACTATATATTTTCATACTTCGTAGACTGAAAAACAAAGACACCAGACATAACTCATTCTTTCCACCCAAAAACAACCAACCCTTTGTCATCAGATAATGTCCTCATCGGCATTCAGAAATGAATCACCCATGTATGCACCATTTTCTTGCAACAAAGAAAAACATGAACACCCAACTCACCGTAGATATCTAACCTTCAATATGGCGTTTCTTTTCCCTGTCATAGTAGTACACCAATCCAGCTCCAGTGCAAAGAAGCAAAAAGAAGCTCATCCATGAGACGGGCTATCACGATAAAATATTACAAGCTTTATCAAACACACTATCCCATAAAGTTTGTTACTTTTCATACTCAAATATGAAATGGAATTTCTTTTCTCTAGAAAACCCACAAGAAAAATGGAAACATGGGACGATAAATCTGTAAGAGATAAATAACAAATTACCCCTCCTCGGATAGGCTTTCCTTCCTGAGAAGTATTCTGCGATCCACCTGAACGCTGCCCTTCTTCATTCTTATTTCCAGAATTACCCTCCGCAGACCCACTAGACGGAGCTGAACCTACATTCGAGCTCGCCGGTTGATTCGCACCAGATGTGGCCGCCGTGCACAGATTCCGATGACTCGCCGGGAAAGTGCGCAGCAATTTATGCTGGTAATCGACGAAGGTTTCTGGAGGGACCTGAATCAGGGTTGGCCTCTGGAGCGATTTGATGGGAGTGCTGTGGAATTTTGAAGAAACCAACCGATTGAAGAAATGAATTTGGTGGAGGCGCAATTTCCGCGAAATTGAGGAGGCCATTGCAGATTTGCAGGTGATGAAAGCAGATTTTCTCCCAAAGTTCTGTACTTTTTTTTCCCCTTTCCTGTCTAAAACCCTAGAGCAGGGTTTATGCTGTAATCCGTCCGGCGGTCGAGCTAGCTAATGAGTTATACCCGTACTGACAAGTAGAGCCTCTTAAATTTACAAAAATTGCCGTAAATATCATATTTTTATTTATATTATTAATCTAAAATATTTTATATTAATTTTAAAGTATAATAAGCATAAAATTTATCATTAATCTCAAAATTAATTATATTTATATTAAATACTAACTTAAAAATTCTTGCTTTGTTTGATTAGTAACAGATGAAAAACAATTTAAATTTGCTCAGCAAAACAAAAATGCTCATTAACTAGGCTTATTTTTACAACCATACTTTTCAAAAGTTGGCTCCATAACGGAGCCAACAGTTGTGGAGCCCACAGTTGGCTCCTTAGCATTACTGATACAATCAATAGTACATCCATGAAACACCATTAAACTAATAACATCAAATCATTGCACCATCAGCATCAAAATCATTGCACCATCAGCATCCAGATGGTCTTAAAAACCTTGAATGTTAATTACATAATTAGCAAAGTACACAAGGCTTCCAAAGCCAATCGCATCATCAGCACACTATATAATATAATTAGGCAAAACATAACAATTGTTTTAACAATACAAAAATTGCTAATACAAATCCTCATCTTCCGAATAAATTCGTCAGTGCTTCGTCATCATCATCATTGATATATCAATGGAGGAAGATGAGAGAGAGAAATATACAAGTAGCTGAGCTGAGAGCATCATTGGTTCTTGAATGACTGCAAACAAACAACAGTGTCCAAAATTAATAAAGGTGACAACTTGAGATGAAGGGGAAAAATGAACAATTTAATATGAAAAAAACCAACCCCAAGGTTCTTAGAGACATCCTTAACTTGCTCAGCTAATTCTTTTTTCTTTTGAGCAGCTGCATGAAGCAAAGACAAACAGTTCGATGGAATACATCCAGCCAGATAGATGTACACTAACAATGAAATACGAAAACAAGAAGCATCTAAATGAATTTGAATAAAAAAAAAAAAGAATACCGATAT